AGACTGATAGCCTTGGAATCACTTTTTAACACATCATTAGATTCGATGGCAATTGAGGCCAATGCCGATAAGTTGTCACTCAGTTCTGGCGCCATGTCTTCACCAATGGACTGTCTGTTAGGACTGGAGGGCAGACTCGTTGTGTCGAGATTGTTGTCCTCATTGTCTGAAGTGATGGCCGACGTATCCTTGGCTGAGGTGGCGTTGGAGTCGTGGCAGTGGGCGTGTGTCTGATGATACTTAAGACCATTGATATGCTTATACTTTTTGCTACAATTAGGTTCCGGGCATTCGATGAGAACGGGGGAAGAGGGCTGAGCCACAGGAGTGTTGGGTTCGCTGGAAGTACTCGACGCCGAAGTATTGCGTGTTTGAGATCTATTTCTTTTGTTTCCTTTAATATTATTACTATTATTAAAGTTTTCGTTAACTGGACTCAACTCCAGATCGGATGGTCTGCCCTTCCTTTTGGAACTGGATGTGGCACTGCTGTCACTCTTGACAGGACTGGCCGGTACAGTGAACCCCGAATTAGCTGTTCTGCGACCCTTTCCGTTGCGGAGTTTGCTCTGAACGGAACGGCTGTCAGCCGTCGTGTCATTACTGGTGTTTGCAGTCCGCGAGCGCTTTGCTCGACTGTTCTTATTGTTCTTCGACTCCTATAGTGACCACCCGCTGAGTGTCTTGGAGCCTCCGCGGGTTAGCACAAATCACGTCAGGTTGTCACAAGGGTGTATACAGAACGGGGAGGTGCAGTGCAAGTGATGGTCATGTGGACGTCATCACAAACAAGCAATCAATTAGTGGTTAATTCAACACAATGCACATCAATGACAAGCAAATACCTCCTTCAGTCTCTTGCCATACAATTCCCTCTAACGTGACACTAGTGCCCGGTTCACAGGGACCCAAGCAGTCGGGTTCCGTAATGGTGCCAATGCTGGTCGATGTGCCCGTATCTCGTGTGGCAGATATGCTCTCTTCGCACTAATAAACAAATGTTTCGTCAAAAATTAGTTTCCATTCATATATTGAAATAAACGAAAAATTTTTATTTAATTCGATATAATTTAGCGAACAGTGAAAATAGGTCTGCTTTTTGAATAGAAAACAGCACAGAGTGCAGTTCGCACCGGTAGTCATACACTAGTTTTACAACCATTTCATAATCAATTATATCACTGGTGGGCGACTCACAGAACCTCGGAGGCGCCCAATCGTGTTTAGTGCAGTCCAACAGTGTTCCCACATATGTCTTGCCCCTCCACGTCACGTTCACTACCAGTACACCTGCAGTAGTGTCACAAGCAATCAATTAGTGGTTCATTCAACACAATGCACATCAATGACAAGCAAATACCTCCTTCAGTCTCTTGCCATACAATTCCCTCTAACGTGACACTAGTGCCCGGTTCACAGGGACCCAAGCAGTCGGGTTCGGTAATGGTGCCAATGCTGGTCGACGTGCCCGTATCTCGTGTGGCAGATATGCTCTCTTCGCACTAATAAACAATTGTTTCGTCAAAAATTAGTTTCCATTCATATATTGAAATAAACAAAACTAAAAATAAATTAAGCTATATTAAATCGCTTGTCACTTTTATCCAGACGAAAAACTTATCTTTTGTCGTGTCTCACGTCAAGCGTGGCCATCAGTATGTGATCAAAATGTTGGTAAAGTATTAGTTAACCACAATAATGACCGAAATACTCATTATCTGCTTAACTATAATCAGGTGGTCATTATTGATGACACGCCCTATTGTGTCATATACCGTATGGTGAGCTCTTAAATACAGTTAAATCTCAATGACTGTCACCATTTTGGTTGTCATGTACTGTATCCATGTATCCAATTCAATAATTAAAATTTACGGTAATTGTAACTAATTTTTCTTATGATAAGAGCTCTCAAATGGTGTGCCACACAAGTGGGGGTGTTATCAAGGGGTGCCTCTAAGGTTAACTACCATTTAAGGCATATTTATGTAAAACCTCCCTTCCCTTCCCAGTCTATAGCCCAGAGGGTGACCCCAACCTGACATTCATTGCAATATAGGGTTAATGAGTCTTACTTTGGTGTCGAGTTTAATCTTCTTGTGAGGCGACGCCATATTTTTGGTCAACTCATCAGTTCTTAAGATCACAGTTGGGTTGAGAGACGGCGACGAATATTTCAACGTTAAAGTGCTCGAAGACATCGATGTGACCGTTGAAGAAGGAGCGAGTCTTGAGATCGAAGAACTTGTGTTGAGATTTGTGGTCGAATTGGTTGAAGACTGAGTTGACGATTGTGTAGCCGTTTGGCAATCAGTGGCGGCCTTTGCGTTGACAACAGAGCCGTTCACTTCATTCGATGCAATACTAGGTTTGGACGAGATTTTGGTCGTCAAAGAAGTGGAATTGCTTTTATCGGTTCCACTAGTGTTTGCACTGGTGTTGGAACCACTACTCGTCTTATCCTTATCTCTATTCTTATCCTTTTTGTCTCTATGACTACCACTCCTTCCTTTATTTGAATGTTTGGTTGACTTAGAGTCAGACGTCGAACATAACGGAGAGATCACAGATGTGCACGAATTGGCTGAAGACATACCCTGGTTGTGGTCACCCGTAGAGCCAGTGCTCGACTGACCCAAAGTCGAGTACTTGGCGCTCGTGTCAGAGGACACGATCTCGTGTTTCGCTTCATAAGACTTTCCGCCAATGTTTTTGCGCTTAATCTTCATTTTGAGTCCTTTGTCAACAGTCGCCGAGTGCTCCACACTTGACGTCACCACCGATGGCGTCGACACTGAAGAGCTCGAAGAGGTCGATGACGATGAAGACGAGGATGAGTTGGTCGACGACCCGCTCGAGTGATGGTTGTGGTGGTGATGATGATGGTGGTGGTGATGGTGTGATGGGGACACTACTGATGTCGACAAACTCGATGAACCAATGGGTGCTCCACTGGTCAGTCCTACTCGAGACGACTTAGAGTTAGCAGACATGGCTGTCGTGGCACTGGATGTCGATTCAGATCTACTGTTGTCTATTAGATTAGATAATCCGCTCACAGATTCACAATTAGTTTCAATAGTTTTATTGTTTGTCACACTTATAGCGGAACCGTTAGCCGGACCACTCTTGTCGTTGGTCTGTCTCTCGATGTCTGCATCCAAATCAATGATAAGGTCTCCGATTCCGAGTTCCCATTCGTTGTAGTCGTCGTCGAAATTAGTAGCGCTTGGATTGGATGAAGAGGTGCTCGGATGAGCCGCTGTCGATGTATTTGATCCGCAATTCTTGAGGTTAGTATTGTTGGGATTAATGGGACGACTGGTCAGTGTCTGCGACGACGAAGGGCTCGTCTTATGGGGACAGGGATTGGGTGCGACGGACGCAGCAGTGGTGGGACTGTCGGCTGGAGTAGCGGTGGGTGTGTTGGGAAGGGGTGCGATGGCCTCAGTATCAGCTGATCTCACCAACACCAGCACCAGATGTCGGTGGGCTTAGGCCACCGGTAGGAAACGCCGCGAGAGAAAGTAACTACAGAGAACACCAGCGGATAGTGCTCCACTGGTGAGGACGTTGTGTAGCGGTCAGGCTCAATGCACTCAATGGTCACACTCGCAGTCAACACACGCATCAATCAGTTAATCACTGCCAATGTCACCGCCAATGGATCCGATGTGCAGACAATCACTGCTCGATAACACAATCACTTCTCATCTCATGCGGCACTCGTGTCTCGGGTGGTGTCCACTGAGTGCGTACTCAGTGAATGCAATGCATGTCCGTGTGATGACCCTAACGGGGGTTCGCAGTGTTAGGTGTGTGTGGTGTGTGGGCCCTCCCGAAGTGCATACGAGTGCTAACCCCTCCACGAATTGAACGCTTGTATAGCCAAAAATGGCCGCAAATGCTCGCATAGACTCTGCATTGAGAACAATGAATACTCCGTATTGTATCCAATGCTTACTTACACTGACCCTACATGAGCGAGCGAACGACCACGAACCCCGACCCTCACACACGCACATCAACGCACTCACGCACACACACCATATGACCACTACGAACACCCATCACGAACATCCCATTACACCCGCAAATCTGACCACAATTTACTAAATAAGACCAAAACATACGACTCCTATAACTAGCCTATACTGTAGTGTAATATAGACACCCAGTGCACTGCATGTCATGTTGGGGAAACAAACTTGTGAGCAGGTTTGTATCAATGACTCTGTTTGTGCTGAATGTCACTCATTATTATGCTATTGTTTATCTGATTGTCAATTATCTGAGCAAGAACATATAATTTCTGATTTATAATTTAGTGCATAATATATTTAGCACGTAAGAATGTACACTGTATATATATGAGCATGCACACTTGTGTGTGAGTTATCAATGAGTTTTTCATGAATAGTGCAATATATGAGAGTTTGTGCGCCAATCGTATGTCTAGTTTTGCAAAAGTCGGCGTTTGATTGGTCGATGATTTCTCTTTCAAAAACATGTGATAAAACGTAAACAAACTGTGCTTTTGTTCAGAATCCGAATTCACGGAGTACTTTGCAAGACATCACTTGAGTAGAGAGGGAACAGTAGCTAATGTTTGCTGTAGTCGTCTGAACATTGGGACCATTGAGACACCACTCCTGAACACTCAATCCTTTCATACAGAAAGCCATGTAATGAACATGAGCTCCATTCATGAACACTATCATATGTATAGCCATAAGGAATATTCTATTCATACAATTATCATCAAACTATATATCATTTACATTATTCTATACATATTCACCAAAACATGTTCATCATTACAAGTATTGGTCATCATATTCATCAATTCATCATGCACAAATCCATATTTAAATATTCACTATTCATGAAAAACTCATTGATAACTCACACACAAGTGTGCATGCTCATATATATACAGTGTACATTCTTACGTGCTAAATATATTATGCACTAAATTATAAATCAGAAATTATATGTTCTTGCTACTAACATTAAAGACAAACAAAGCGAAAACCGACAAATTCTTAAGGAAAACATTGAACTCAAGTCCCAAATGGATGCACAAAATATCAAGAATAGACACTCGAGTCAAACAACTCATGCAAACCTGTCGTCGGCTTCATTTGGTCCGATGTTTGACAACAGACACAGCGATCACTCGAAACGCTATTTTATGGACAGTTTGATCGAACATCAGACCAAATCAGACATCGACTCTCATTCGGGTGCAGCCGTCGGTCCGCCGCCTCTACTCAAAGACGGTATTAATCGCTCAAAGAGTGATCCGTCAAAGTCTTCAGCTTCGAGTTCCAGTCATAAGCACTCGACCTCTCCATCACTCTCTAGTCCTAAACCTAAAGACAGTCTCAAAAAAGACAAATCAAATGATGAAAAGGACGACAAAAGCAAAATTAAGCTCAAAGAGGAGGGCGTAAAGCCTACAATGGAAACGACTGGACCGCCGCCTCCGCCTACAAATGGCTATTATTTCAACCCCTCGTACTTAGCGCCACACTTCTCACCCTTCGATCACTCGCACCCAATGTTTAGGGCCGGCTCTATGAGTCCCGTAATGATGGGAAACCCCTATTCACAACAATACCTTCCCCCACAATTGCGTTACCATTTGTCTCCTGTGGCACCTCCCAGTCCCATTGGATCGATGGATATACCGGGTGCGCCACCCATTAACCCTCCGAATGACCCTTTAGTGTCTAAAATGCATTCAAATGCACCGAATCCTAAGAATGTGGATCTAATGCATCCCGTGTCACACTTTGGAACTCATAAAATACATGAACTCCAGGAAAGAGCTATAATATCCCCGACGGCCACATCCAACACAAGTCCCCATCACCTGCAGTCCTCGTCTAAAGCGGTACCACCGGGTAGTCTGGCGGTGCCCTCCACTAAATCCATGGGTTCGGCTATCTCTGAATGTTCTGCTCTCTCGAGTCCCACAAAAGAAGACGCCAGTGATATAAAGTCAGGCGACCGGCAGCGGTCACCCCCTCCCCAGAGACACCTGCATACCCACCACCACACCCATGTGGGGGTCGGGTATCCCATCTACGATCCTTATAGCGGTAAGTTGTGCTCAATCTCTGTGTTCATTCGAGTGAATGCGACCACAGTTTGAATGCAAAGTCGTTGACTCTGTTATGAAGACTCCAGTCGTAGGCCTTAAGACATGCCTTAATTGAAACTGAATTTATGTTACCTTTAGTGACACCGAATTGGAAACAATCGCAATCACATCTCTCTTATAGCATGTGATGGTATGACTCATGAGTTATAACAAGACAGCCATTAAATAATCAGTGATTCAGATGAGCGATTAAATCTCATTAAAGTGATGAACCATTGAATTGCAGTCACAAGTGATTCAATGATTTCCTCTAACATTATCACCTGCTTATCACATTTGATTCACACCCTATCGTATACTCTATGAATTTAGATGCTCAGGGACTCGCCCTATGTACTAAACTGTCAATGTTTGGCACAATTTAGTTGTGTTTGAGTGACTGATTGTCTATGATTTGTGTGTTGCCTGCTATACGCCATACTCTATAACTAATTGACTTATGATTTGATTACAGCAATGCTTGTGAGCCACTCGGCGTCGTCGGCTGTATCGATGCACCCGTTTGTACCGAAGTGATGGACAGTTTGACGATTATTTTTCAAAGCAATTACATTAATCTTCTGATCTTATTTACAATTGGTTTGTGTTCACTATATTTGAAGCCCAAAACAACTCATTTTATACCATTGTTTAGTCGATTTTGATTATTATTTTATATTTTGATGGTTTTCTATTTATTTAAGTATTATATTATTATATTTCTTGTCTTATAGTTGTGATTGAGAACAGACTATTGACTGAACGCCACAACGATATTAACGAGACTTTTGAGACTTTATATACAATTTTGATGTTATGAGTGATATTAACTGTAATTATAAACACACTTACGATACAAAACCGTAAACTTATTTATAATTATCTATAATCAATTTATAGTATTGTAAATGATTTGTTAATAATAGCGCTAATGGTTTGACTGAAAGCCAGTATTTTTGTCCCAAAACACAACTCTAAATGTTTTCTGTGCCTCTCTTTTGGCAACTTTTCTATAATTAATGCACACTTTTTATGTAAATTTTATGATTATTTGTTTGAAGACCATTTCAGAAGAGTTGCAAAACTTCTCTATCGTTGTCTTAAAAACTCTTTTTTAGTGCCATTTCTTAAGACATCATAAAAACAATATGTTTTAACTTTTTTCTCACATTCCGTTTGACAGGAATGACATTCAATAGTATTTTGTAAATAACTTAAATTTAGTGAATGACAAGTCATCAAATTGTATATAAACTCATTGTTTCTGACATTTGTTTTATCTTTTGATCATTTTGTAAATTCATTTGACTATACGGTAATCAATAATTTTATTAGTATTTACTTAATTAAAGGGTTGTGGCTATGAATCTGCAATCTTTACACACAAACCACTACTCCATTGCTTACATTGTATTGTCTTATAGTATTTATAAGTTATTTGTATAATAATAGCCTTTCCAATGGCTAAATGTTGTGTAAAACAGTACATTTTGGTCATCACGTGGAGTATCTGTGCCTGTGTTTAAAAATGGCAGATTAATAGCCAGTACACTTTATATAATATATCGAATAATGTTTTACTAAAATTGAATTCAATGCTAATAGTTAATAATGAATGGAATATGGATTTCAATTGAGTATTGTTTTAGGTTTTTAACTCACTTTTCAAATGTAATAAATTTGCAATTTTTGAATTTCAAATGTTAAACATATGGGAAATAAAACTCATTTTCAAAATGAATTGTATATAATGTTTGGATTTATTAATTGAGTACACGATTGACATGAATAAAGTAAATGACAAATTGTAATCACATAAAGACTATGTGACGAACGTAAGCTATTTAAACTACATTTATATTAAATTAAGTTGTGATTTAACAACACATGACATAATACGATAATAAGTTAACAATAAATTGAATATAAGGTAAATTGAAAACTAAGAAATACTTTAAATGTACGAATGAATGACACGTTTATTGAAATGAAAGCTAATGAGCGGTTGTGCCGTAAGGTATGGTTACATAAAGACATCCCGTTTTTTGTTGAGATAATCGACAAAATGTTTGATAAGTGTGACTATGATTTTCAATTGTTTTTTAGTGATCGCGGAGTTTAGTAAGAATTCCGGCACAGCTATCAAGAACCGCAACAAATGGATGAACCCATAGGTCTGGTTGGCATCAAACGAGTGCTTGCAGTGGACCTGCATTTGCCTCAACTGTTGCCTCTCTTCCTCGTTGTAGAAGAGGAAATGGTTTTCGATGAGAGCACTGAAATAGATCTCTAAAGAACTCTTGAATTCAGACACAATCTGAGACTCGTTCTCCTCAGTGATGGCTGCGTTCGGATCAGTTGTCAGACATATATTGTTATTGAGAGCGAACTCATCGATGATTTGGGAGACATTTGGCTGAACCGGCAGTTCGTATAACGACCTCTCGATCACACAACGCGCGAAGTCTTTGTCTAAAATGGCTTTCAATTCGGTGGTCAGACAACAGATGAGTGATTGAGAGTCGGACTCGTCGTAAGTGTTGGACTCCGACATCACAGACATTGTGTTGCAGTCATTGCTGACACTCGTCCGCACACTTGTCCGGCAACTCATCCATGAGTTCAAGTCATCCGAAGAGACGGTGGAGTGTCTGTCAGAGTCCTCTTGCGTCAGTTCCGGGTCTTCATCCGAGGTATTCGTGTCGTTGTCTGTGAGATGTGTGCCATTAGTGTCGGTGTTGTTCGTGTTGACCACAATCTCCTTAATAATGGCCGGAATTTTGTTGAGTTTTAGTTTCTTTCCCTTCAGAGCGATGGCCGCCTTCTCTGCTAAACACCTCTGAAGGGATCTGTTCTGTGGGTTGTCTTTGACGATATCGCACTCCATGACGAGTCGATCCCACGAGGAGTTCCAGCCGTAGAAGTGAACCAAATATTTGGCGCATTTGCGGCCCAACCCGTCCTTCCCTACACAACACGACAACACTTTCGACTCATACAACACTTTCGCCTTCTTCGGGTCCGGTTCATAGCTGGGGTGACCAAGGGATCAGTCAATGTCATCTACACCACTATCTCACCAATACATACCACAAGACCTTCTCGTTTTCCAAGAAATTGAATCGGATTTTCCTCTTCGAGACCATTGATTGCCATTCAATGCAGTCTTCACTCCATTTGTTTGACAACAACTGCTCTCTCGTTCACAACAATCGTTACCATTAATAGCACTTCCAGTGTGTGTGCCGTCGATTGCAATATTCCGGGAGTAGTACTTAACTCTATTCAGTCTTTTTTTAACTTACTTTTTAACTTAATTTAAAACTCGTCATTCATATAATTAATTAAATTTAAATTTTGTCAACTTGAATTTGAACACTTAATATTATTGATATAATGATCTTGTTCAATTTTCAGTTTGTAAATGTTCATTGAGTTGAGAAATAGGCAGACATTGAGTGAGAGGGGAATACTCTGAGGGAAGAGTAGGGGTGTAGTGAAGGGTTGAACCCAATGTTTGTGTGTAATGTGTGTCAGGGTTTGCATGCATTTGACGAAAATGTCTTAAAATGTCTTCAGTTGATGACATCCTCTCATGAAAAGCCATCACAACTCATGAGTCTATATGTTTGTCGCCATTTCTGCACTCATGGATCAATTGTCTGATTAACCAATTGTATGATTGGAGTGGTTATTACCAGAGGAATAGAATCGGTGGAAATGATTGACTGAAGACATGGATGGAAAGGCCGACACAAATGCGGCCCAAGAGGAGGACCACTCGATGGCACCGACCGTTCATTCGCTTAAAATGTTTTTCCAGAACCAGAAGCAGCCCATCATTGGAGTGAAACACATGTCAGACAATCATTCGGAGAACACATCCACTCCTTCGCCATCAAACGATTCAAAGACACTTCCAATGGATGTGTCGGACAAGAAGTCTTACAATCGGACCAATCGAGTGCTTCCTCGGCCTCCGAAAGCCATTGAAAGTTCAGACATAAATGTGCCGCCATTTCACAAATCAGCGCTCAATCAAAGTGAACGACCCGTTCCTCCCATACCTCCCGTCCCTAAACCGCGTAAGAGTTTACTCAAGAATCAAAGTATTGATCATTTATTGGAAATAAGTGCCACTCAGGGATCAAATGATCTGAATGTGAGGTCAAACTCTTTGATGGTATCGTTGACTAAAGAGTTGAATGAATTGAATCTAAAGGACGACAAATCGAGGGCTCATTCTCTGCACTCTTTGATGTCCAGTGAATCCAACACTCAATTCATCCAAACATTGCATTCAAGAGCGGAGGACCTCATGAGTGGATCAACTGAACAGACCAGTGATATTCAGAAGAGTGATATAAACGTAACAAAGGGTTCGACAAAAGGGCGAAAAGTATTCAAATCATTCCTCAAAAGAAGTAAATTATTATCTCTTCGCAAAAGAAGTGCTCAAAACAGTGATAAAAAATGCCAAACTAATAGCCTCTCAAGTGTTAGTCAATTGAGACCTATTAAGCCCACACGAAGACCTCCGGTGCCACCAGTGCTACAGTTCCGACCGCCGGCGCCCTTACCTCCAAACGAGCCAAAGGAGGACTACTACGAGGACACTCTGACGCCGGCCGACAGTCCGTCGGTCACCAGTACTTGCAATGAACCGAAGAATGGATACGAACTGTACAACGATTCCGTGCAATTCGAGCAAATCTACTCCACTCTCGACAATGAAGACCAAAGCGATGACGAACTCTATGAGGGCGTCGACCACTACGACGACGGACTCGCCGGTGACGGCGACCTATGCTTTGCGGACAACTATTACGAAGAATCTAACAGTGATTTCGATCGTATTTACGAAGTGTTGCCCTTTGAGTACGATATGGAGACTGACGGCAAAAGTATGGTCTCTAACGGGTCCACCATTTCTCTGGACGACTATCTCAATGACGAGCTAAACAAACAAACCATTAGTGACGCCAACACTGAAGACAACGAAAAAAGTGAACCAAAAATGGATTCATTTGAAAGAAAACGAAATCTCAAAGCATTGAAAGTGAAGAAGAAGTTTAATCTGAGAGGCGATGAGATTCCGGTGAACGCCGGCGTCGTTAAGGAAGACAACAGAGGCAACCGATACGACCTGTTTGTCCGCAAAGGGGAGACTGTTCTTATACTGCGAATGGAGGGCAACCCTCCCGGCAAGTGGTTGGCCAAGAATGAGAGGTCTAAAGTAGGTTTCGTCAACTTAGACAACATTTCATTCGATGCCGAGTCCGTCAAATCCATTATCAAAACACTGACCGCCTCTCAAAGTGCCTGACCTTTCATTTGGATCTTAAAAGTATTTTATATTTAAGTAAATAACAGTATATTATATTATATTATATTATATTAACAGTATTTTATTAAAACTAATATATTTTTGTATTAATTATGAAACGTTTTGTACGTGACTTATAATCGAGGATTACTTTTTTGATTACCGGTTCATATGATACGCAATGATGTTTGCAATGATTTTAAAACATACTTTTAAATTTTGTTACTTTTATTTATAATTTATTAGAATTTATAATAAATATTGTTTAAAATTATTTGATTTGTTTTTCTATAAGTTGGAAGAATTTTACGCAAAAACTAATCTTTTAAACAAAACAAATGGTCCCAAAAAATAATAAATATTACGGTAATAACTGTTGTCTGAATTGATGGCAATACAATAGAAATACAAAGCAGTAGAATAACTTAGATTATGATATACCGGTAATATAAAAGTAAATTAGCAAACAATATATGGATATAAGATATGGGACGACCCATCGGTTAATTTTGTGCATATATTTCATATCAAATCGTATTCCAGACATACAGTAGTATACAGTATATTATCTCCTAGTTTAAGGATTTGTTTAACTTTTAATTTTCTATTTTGAAAATTAAAATCCAATTTTACAATTAAATATAAATTTATTATTATTTGACGAATGAGGCGAAGACGGCCCACATTATCTCACAGGCGCTCCCTTTGGCGCTCTCGGCCTCCATGTCTAAGTCTAACAGCTCTCGAACCCTCTTCATTGCCACCTCGTAGTCATCATCACTGAAATGGATTCACAAATCATTTGTAAGACAATGGTTTGGTTTTAAAGCTGAAAAGCGACAGAACCTGAGCGGAGCGAAAGCATTCTCCAAGACATCGGAACTGTGGGCCAGAAGTATGAGTGAAAGTAAGCGCTTATCCATGCGGTGCGGATCGTTCACCCATTTGGAGAGCACTGAGTCCTGAACTTTCTTTATTAGTTTGCTTTTGGATCCGCTGTCGACCAATGGATGTGTTGTCATATCGAACAGCAAGAAGTTCTGCTTCTCAGTGGTCAGCACTCCCTTCTCCACCAAATTCTTGGCCAGTCTTTCCCTAACGTTCTTCAATTGGTACCGAAGTTTCAATGGATTCCAAGTTTCGCCTAAAAACCAATCAAACGACTCGTTATACTCGACTCAATTGTCGGGCGGACTGACCGCTCAAGTAGTCGATCCACGACTGAAGCGTTTCCGTGGGTTCCGTCTCTTTGATGTGTTTGAGGGCTTCGTCGAGGAGGACGTCTCCGGTCGGCGAACCGTTCTTTAAGAGCACTTTCCTTAGCAGAAGAGATCGTCTGCGGAGACCAACCCTTTCGAGTTGTATTCTTCCTCGAAGTGCTAACTCTATAAGAATACAACCTCGAAGTCCAGTAGATATGCAGTCGTTCCAGAAGGAGGTATAACCCTATCATCACATCAATACATCCATCACATCCATGGCAACAATGGTCTCATAAATACCTCTTTGTCTTTGAGTCCTAAGAGCAACACTTCCTCCATAAGCGTAAGTCTGGTCTCTTTGGAGTCGATGTCTTCATCGGTGCCATCGTTACTATGACTGGTCTTTGGGTCGCTATTCGTGACACAATCGCTGCCATTATTGCTGTTATTTGTCTTATCATTAGTGGAACTATTCGTATGAGTTCTTCGTTGGACTAAACCTTCTGAACGATTCATTTCAGTTAAGATTCACTCAAATTGTCCCCAATTTTAGACACTTTCGCCAAACAATAAAACAATTTCTTATAATTGGTATCAAAACTAGTGTTCAATTAAAAGCCAATTAAGTGTTCAATCATTTAAACCGTTGTTTCAATCAATGAGTCATTTGTTTGTTATTATATTTATTATCACTAATGAGTGTCAATACAAACACTTAATCACTGTCCAATCAATTCAAATGCAATTCAAATCAATTAATTCACTCAAATAGACACCAATTAATGGTAAAAGTGTTGTTTAATTGACTCAATGTATGAATACTGAATGAATAACAAATGAATTCAATGTTTAGTCAACTGTTTGTATGTTTTTAACGCCATTTATAAGTGAAATACATTTTATATTAATATTATAGTTATAGTATTATAATAGTAATACACATCATATTATCTATAATGCTATGAAAACCATTACATTATTTGATTCACAATTCAATTCATATTACAAACTGTATTACCGTATAATCAATGCGTAAAGCATTTAATGATGACTGCAGTCAACGCATTGAATGCCAGTCCAGTGTCAGAGTCAACACAAACACACGTTAACTGTATTTATGGATAGATTACACAAATCCTAAACTTTTCCCACAGACTGTGCACTCATTTGCGAATTGAACCAATTATTGGCATCAATTTATGAGACGAGTAATCATATTGAATACAGTATTTCATTTTCTTATTAATTAAGTCTAATATACACTACACTACAGTACAGTAGGCCTTCTTATTATTGGCACAATCTGTTAAGTATTTCACTAATTAGCAGTATATCTTAACTTGAACTGTTAAAGAGTGTAATGACATGAAGTTGTCTATAATTTGTATAACTGTAAACACCTGTTTGTCTGTTTTAAACCTTCCATACATTCAACTAAATTGCAATTAACAGTTTTGCTACTATTGTAAATGAGTGGAGAGAGAGAGAGAGAGAGAGAGAGAGAGAGAGAGATTTAATCGTTAAATATAATGTATAAGCTTTATACTGTATCATACGATACTATACGATGAATATGAAGTATTAATAAGTTAAGTTAGAGTTATTATAATTTCCGATTTAGTTCTAACTATAAAAGTTTGTTTGAAGTTTGCATTGAAAATGAAATGCATCCATGTCATAACATAGTCTATTAGACAATTGAGGTTACAGTAAGTTTATTTGAAATATGGTATTATATCTCATATTCATATGACTGAATGGATACTCGTATGGATGTGAGATGAGTGACCCGTCTATGTATCATAAAAATAGCCAATTTTGTTGAACTCATGCTTTGTTTGCAGTTATTTATGTTAATTCACATAAAATACTCATTCATTGAAAGCAATGAAAGATTTGATACTTGACTGCAATTTATTAAATCATTGCTTCAATATTGGGGGCAATAGTTGTCATTCAGTGACAGTGTTTGTGGAGAGTTGAAGACATGGATCCAATGAATGGCTAATCCATTGGATGTTTGATTGATTTTCGTGAAGACAATCAGATGCTTCGCGATGTCTCGTGTGTCTCGGGATCGCGTGTTTGGATGCGATGTCTGTCATCAGGTGTTCACGAGGAGAGTGTCCCTCAAAGAGCACAAACACATTCACACCAATTGTAAGCCCTATCAGTGCCTCACTTGTGGACAAACTTTCCGTCAGATTTCCAATTATAAGAAACACCAGAAACGACACCTCAACACAACTGATCCCACAGTGAAAGAGGTGTCGTCGGGGTCGTCGACGAGGGCCAAGACATGCCATGTGTGCGGCCGTCACTTCAGCACTCAGTGGGCCCTCACATCCCACTCCTTGTCTCACAACCAATTCAAGAGCTGTTTGTGCGACAAATGCGGAAATACTTTCAAATACCGGTGCGATTTGGTCAGACACATGAAGATACACGACAACCACAGACAATACAAGTGCGATGTGTGTGCGCTTGGGTTCAACGACATGTCAGCCCTCAAGAGACATCGGATTAGAGTCCATAAGAATGACAAGAAGTGCACTAATGATGCAAATGTGGGACAAAGTTGTGGAACCAGTGGTGACGCGAATCCATCGGACAGTGAGACCATTGACTTGAATGATGCAAATTATGTGAATTCAGTGATTGATTTCATAAACGTTTGTCGCATTCTTCCGCAACCACTTCCCTGTCATATCTTCGAGAAGTCTGTGGAACTGCAGCGAGAGATTGGCATTCATTTGGGAACTGACGACAAGTGCGCGAAGACGTTGTTCTCAGTGTTGAGAACAGGTCTTCAGGACTTGAATCAAATAATTGGCGAACACTTGCACTTCAAATATAAATCAATAATTTATTAATTCTTAAATTGAATTCAATTTCATATAATTTTGTCAATAATTTAATTTCTCATTAAAAATTATGTTATTTTGTCGCAATTATTTATACTTTAATTTATAAAATGACACAAAAGTTTTGCTTTAATTAAATTAAATAACAATTTATGACAGAAATGGTGATGACATGAGAGGAGATTCGCGTCAAACTCCTTAAGGGTTTCCAACGATTGCAACGTTTCATAAGTTGACCACATTTTGAGACTCGGCTATCAAATGTATTTTTTGGTGCCATTTATTTGTAAAATATATTCTCATGTTTTATCTGTAATCACAGCCAAACACTGGGCTATTGTTCGCGACTCATCCCTTCCGTCAGACATACATAACTCACATAAGTATTGTTCAAAACATTCCAGTGTTCTGTCATTCATGGAAAACACATCCAATTAATCATCATTTCATTTGAGACAAGAGAGTGAAGCGGACATACCTTTTGACAAAATTTGAATGTAGGGCCAGATTTCGGAGTATTAGTGCAGACGTCAGTCTAATACTAACCGTCAAAGGAGTCAATTTGGTTATTGGAGGCAATGTTGGCGCTTCCTATAAGACATACCGTAACCATTGGCTTGAGTATAGGTGTATAACTCTAAACCGATTCAATACTCACCACATAATTGGTCGCATGCCTTCTGATGGCCAGAAGTGCGGCGTTATGTGCGTAACCGGGATGTGCCGGCGGTTGTGGTAACACTATAGCTGTCGATCCCACGGATGACAACTGTTTCTTTCGCACGGAATCTTGTTGTATGACATTTGGATTGCAGTGAAAGTCCTGAGCAATGGTATAGACATTGATTACATTTGAATACAACGGGTAAATCACTTGACAATCAGTAGACATACCAAAAGATGTGTGAGTAATGAGAGTTTTGGTCTCTTAGACAGACATCCGGGTCCAGTGCCTTCTGGTCCACCCCATAGACAGGTCATAACATTGGGGAAACTGGCGGGCATTATATGGTGGTTGTGAACGTGTAAAAACACTTCTGACGGCCGACCAAATGTTCTGCAAAGTAATCATTGGATGTTAGTTTGGTTTGCATTGGACTGGTATTCAAGTGACACTTACTTCTTGCAGTCATTCCACTGACACTCAAACTCACTATTAACTGAATTATTGGTATTATTGACACAATTGCTGTCTTTACTGGTATTACTGTTATTATTATTATTATTATTACTGCAAATGTTTTTAATATTACTCGAAGTGATTGTAGTGATGGTTGTGACGGCAGATGAAGGCGTTGCCGAACAGATAGTCAACAGATTGGAGGCTTTGGTTAATACTTGTTGCGGATTAGTATTTGTTACACAATTAGTGATTGGATTAAGACTTGACTCTGAATTCAAATCATGATTTGGTATACTATTTGTGAGGAGAGGGGGCGAAGGAATGGTTAGCACTGAATTCACTTTAAGTTTCTTATTGGACGCCATTTCATCCGTGTCGTCGTTTTGTCGCTTTGATATGAGTTTAGTCGCGTCGTCCACAGCCTTCTTCATGTCCTTAATGGGAGACAAATCAGTCGACGGCAACAAACAGTTGACTGAATTCACACAATTGGTTGGACTCGTCTTCACCTCTAGTTCCGTATTAATGGCAGTACTAAAAGAGTTAGATATAGTACTCATGTTGTGAATGCTATTAACACTATTGACGACACTGTTAACCGTATGGACAGCGGGTCCCACTTCACCATTGATTGTAGGAGTGCTACAATTCTTGGTAATTGTCTGTTTGTTTACCACCGAATGATTGATAGAAGTGGTGGTAAGTGTTGGCGAGAGAGTGATGTTAGCGAGTGTTGTCTGAAGGCATGACTTGAGTGTCGTGTTTGTGGTGGTGAGGGCAGAGCAGAGGGTGACTGCGGGCGCAAACTGTTGTGTCGTTTGATTGAGTTGTGTCTGAAGTGCGGGCAAACTCTTGATGGCGAGCGGAGACTTTGTCGTCAAAATATACATTTTAGGCGTTTGTGAAGACATAAGTGTCGTACTATTGGCCGAACCAAATGAGTTGGCATTGATTTGGTTGTTGACGACAGCAGAGGTGGAAAACTCCGGCAGTTTTCCCTTATCTAAGAGTACGTTTAGAAGTGGAGATGACTTGACGTTACTCCTGAGGGGCGTCACCGGCACTGAGTTAGCACTTGTATTCGATAGGACTGTCTTGAGGAACAAATCCGAAGCACTGGTAGAAATGGTGGCAGAAGTGGTCGAATTGACGGCCGGACTACTGGTCGCACATATTGTGACATTAGTTAAGGGCGTAGAAGTGGTTGTGACGCCATTCATGGCCGGACTGTTGAACCTTTGTTGGGTTAACATACTGGCCGGCAGTATGAGTCTGACGGGAGTGCCAGTAGTGGCCAAACCAGTGCCACCCGACTGCTGGCCGGGCGATGCGATAATAGTGCGAACCAAAAGAAACTGTTGCTGTTGTGGCTGAACCTGATGTCCAGACATCGTGGCGTTCGTAGTGCTGAATATTGCATTATTTGGTGTCAAACTGATGGAAGGGGTGATTGTTATCGCAGACGGAAGTTGTGGCGAACTATTGACAATTGAATCGCCGTTAAAATCATTACAAATAGTTATAGCGGTTATAGTATTAGAGTGGGTCGTCGTTGGGACGGGTGTTGTAGTCATTATAGTCTGTGGTTTCACTGCAGGTGTTGTCAATGTCTGTAATGTCAATGCATTGGTTGTTGACTTAGTCTGAAGGGTGGATGTGTTAGAAGTGGTCGGTTGGGTAGAAATGGTTGCATTACTCCTGAGTTTGTTTGCTAACAGACTCTTAATTAATGTCGAAGTATTAGTGGTGGGAATTGGAAGCGAACTCGTGGTCGACGTACTCGTGGTAGTGATTAGACTGGTATTACAGTTAGAGTTAGTGCTGGTGTTCACAGGACTGGTAGGCGTGTTGCTAATCTTTGGAGGAGCGCTGAGGTGGGCCTTAAGGATGGGTGACATGAGTTGCGAAGTGGGGGTCGCACTCGACTTGTTGGGAGTGTTTTGTACAGATTTAGCGACAATGCCCTCAATGGTGGTCTGATTGTTCGTCAAAGTGCTCGAAGGGAAACACCGTTTGATGAGTTGGGCGAAAGGTTGGGCTGCCATCACATTACGGCGCGAACTGCGGCAGCAATACTTCACGTAATCGGCGTATAGATCGGCCGCTTTGAGACATTGGTTTTCATTGAGATTAGTGTTGGGTTCGTAACTCTGTCGCAACCAATTCAGTGCAAACGTCTCGTTGTCTACAGTATTGGTCTGAGAGGTAGTGTTCGCTGAATTGGCAACACTTTGCGAACCAACAGTTCCCGCATTAGTCTCACTTTGATTGGTCTGAGCCCTCGGTCTGTCGTCTATTACTTTCATGCGCTTCAGTGCTGTTGTCGTGAAGTGTTGAGAGGACTCGCAGTTGAGAAGTGTTAATAGGATTTCTGATTCAAACAAATTGAAACACATTTATTATAATTGCTAAGGGGAAAGGTATTAAAACTTACTGATGAGATGCTTATTGTCGTCCTTAAGCAACATATAAGGCTTTTGTTCAGAGAGTGCTAAACAGAACTCTAGTATCGCTAATAATAATGTGATGTCGTATTGACAGGTCATTAGATGTGTTATACGTATGAATACCTGTGAAAAGATTGGCAAATAAAACACCAGTTTTACAAAGTTATAGGTTTTCATTTCTAATAAACTAATGCTATTTCCCTAATATACTAGTACTGTATGTATATAGTATTTCAAATATACGGTAGAACCAAATACAAATATTGTATATCATTAGTAATTTATAATTTATATCCATTGCATAAGACTAGAGTTGTAACAATCATAATAATCGTATATTTGTACGGTATATCAATTGCTTAGTTTATGAATATTTTTCAAACAAAACTATTTTTACAATCAAAGTACTGTATTGGACCTTTCATCAAAATCTCGCATTGAATGATATTTTATAAGTTTTTCATAAATTATCTACCATGCTTATACTAATTTAAGTTCTAAATTATAGACTAAATGTGAACGATTACAAAATAAAAATGCCAAAGGAAATTTTATTAAATGTAAATATATAGTTTAACTACTAACTACCATACTCTCATTTTGGGAAATAGATATTGATCATTTTGATGTTATTGTATTTTTCTATATTATATTACTAACAATTTTCAATAATAAAATAATCCGAATAGCCACAATTAGTATGTTTTATTTAACAATGATTAGCATCGGACATAAGAATTTACCTATATTTTAACGTTATGCTATGACTTACACTTTATAAACTTTTCAACTCATAATCACAGTGATTAACTTGTATGCATATAATGTTAAAATACAGTATAAGCAAATTCTTATGTCCGATGCTAATCATTGTTAAATAAAACATACTAATTGTGGCTATTCGGATTATTTTATTATTGCAAATTGTTAGTAATATAATATAGAAAAATACAATACCATCAAAATTATCAATATCTATTTCCCAAAATGAGAGTATGGTAGTAAGGTATTTAATAAAATCAAGAGTATTATACCCAGAATAATTCTCATTCTTTTTAAATAATTATTTAACATTGGAAATTACAATTATACGAGTAATAACACCAAGAGTCAATTCCTTTGAGATTATAGGAAATTCATAAGTTAGGTTGAATTCGTTACAAAAACATTTTAATTTATAAATTCACATTAAATTGCATAAATCTGTGTTAAACCCGGGGCTATATTAATGGGACGTCTCTACAAGTGAAATAAATATCGTGTTAATATAAAACTGAACTAATAATAGATTAAATATCTGTCAATATTGGCGTTAAATAAATAGTCAAAATAAGTAAAAGCTGAATGCAAATTAAACACATATTACAACATTGACCATCGGCTATTTTCAACTATTACAATTATATTTGTATGGACACTAATAATATTGTCCCAAACAACTCAATATATATTGCAAATTGCAAATATTAATATCGTATACATTATGTTGGTATTGAAATAACATTTTTGGTCATATGATTAAAAGTAAGAGTGTCTCAATAATTAGTTTGCATTGAATTCAAGGCTCAAAACTTTTGGTTCAAAATGAAAGTTAAGAAAATAAATTGAATAAATTTTAAGGTAATAAATGGACATGCAATTTATAGTGAACCACCACTAACTAAGGGTAATCATGTTATAATAGTAATGAATGGCAATCGGAGTTATTGATTGACTGCAATGCAAGTGATGTATGATATATGAAATGATACGACAATTAGTTGTCAACGAATGGATAGATGCGAGCAATTGGTGTGCAGTTTGTCGACTACAGCGTGAGTGGAGTGGAGTGTATGGCAAGTGAATGAATGGGCGACTGATTGGCATTGAGTGCCGGTGTGTGTGAGGAGTGTCTCACAGTTCGCGTTCTGTGCCCTCAATAACACGGCTGTGGTTTGGGTTCACAACACAACACGACTTAAGATTATTTCAAAACACATTTAGAGCGCCAATACTACTCACACACAGACACACGCTCTCCACTACACATCACACACACCTCCAAAAAGCATTCACATCTCTGTATGAACTGTACTCTACGATTACACTATAGTATAGTGTAGTACACTATACTATCACCCATTCATTCATTATTTACTCGCTTTAATCAAAATACTCTACCTCACTAAACTTTTACTATGATATCTATTTACTATATGTGACAGTACTGTACTGTACTATTTAATTATCGGTTACTTTAAAAGCAATTATAAATGTTAACAAATATATGAATAATGAAATGAATGAATACCTCATAGTTCCGGAGATGTGATTCCAAGAATGAGTTAATCTCTTCGACATTAGACGAGAGGAGTCGGGAAACGACTTCGAGGCTACGACTCGTCCAATGGATATTATTGCTGGTCATCGCTATATCAACGCACCGGCGATGAAGTATTTGTTGAATAATGGTATAGACATTATCCTCACTGATGACAGCAGTGGTTGAGGCGATGTTGGATATGATGTCGAGAGCTGTACTGTTAAACTGTTGCTCTGAAGACATGGTTAAGAGAAGTAAAAACTTCATGAGAAGAGGAGTGGCCACAGGACTGGATGACTGAATGCTGTCCTGATTGTCACAATCATAAGTAAACGATAAGTTCCTTAAAATGTCTGCAATGAGTCGAATGCGATCTTTGATTTTATTAAAGTCCTGTTCAGACAACTCCTCGATATTAGGGTCGGGCGGACCAAACACTAACTCCAGAGTGTGTTCATCAGTGCAGCACTGATACCAAAACCTCTGATAACAATTGCATGTGTTTTGTTGGGCCCAACAGTCTTCGTCATTGCTTTCGTCCTCATCCTCTTCTCGACAAATGGAGTCATTTTCCTCACAAACACAACAGTAGTTCTTAAAGCACTCCAACAGAAGGTTAATGTACTTGTAATCAGAAGTCCAATCAAATCGGTTCGAGTTAATGAGTATTGTCGACACTTTGAGCGCGAAGTCCAACTCATTTGGCAAACCACTCAATAGCGAGCAAAACAACTTATTCAACGGATTTCGCACTTCATTCGCACTAACTGTGGACACACTCTGTGGGCACTGGTATTGGTATGAAAGCAATGCCGTCGCCGTTGGGAACGAAGATATCTGCGAATTAAACGAATGGTTGCTGTGGTTGTAGTTATGACTTGAGTTGAACGAGAAATTGCTGCAAATATTCAAATACATGGTTATCATTGTGTCTCAACTCGGAGGTTGCATATCAAGTGTACACACCTTTCGTCTTCGTCGTCTTCCAACAGATCATTACTGAAGTTAGCGCTGAAGGTCTTCTCGTATGTCAGAAGAAATCGGTTATAGATTTGACGCAAAGCCACTGAAATGTTTGCGCCACTGATTGGTGTCCTTTTGATTGCAATACAAATGTTTGGTTCAAATATGAGGACAAAACAAGTAATAGAAAACTCACTTAAAGAGCTTGCAGTAGATATCGTCCCAAAGGTTCAATTGGTTTACTTTAAAACTTCCGCCGCTTTCGATGACATAGGAGTAGAGTTGACTCAAATCAACCACTTTTCCATTGATCCGAGCGATGAATTGTTGCGGTTGTGGACTGTTTCGCATCCAATAAGACATGAGAATATTGTCTCGAAATATATTCAAACAAATACTCACTTATGGTGTCCTCTATTCCGGTAGAACTGAACCAAATCGTGAACGAATTGATCGCTCTTTGAGTCCATCATCAACTCGGATGATGTGAACCAATGTTTATATGGATTACAACACAATTGGTATAATATGTCCACATTTATCAACTCTTTAGCAAACTTATGGTCGACTACTAAACAAGAAGTGTATAGTCATGGAACTCATCCAAACATGTCTTCGGACTATCAACTAATATCACCTGAAATACCAATCAAGCATAACTTAGTAAAACATGTCAAATAAGTTAGTAATACATATTTTCTTGCATTCATTATGTCATCAAACAAATGGGTGTCAAACTGAGACCGCAATGTTTGTAATCAATGGTCAAGTCGTGTGAAGACTTACTTCAAGTCTTAAATCTGTTGGACAGCGGGTGAGAAGCCGAAGAAATAGGTCAATGGTTTGGACATCAACTCAATTAATACTCGATTGTGAAGCCGTGACAACTAATACGGTTTAGTGGTGTTTGGATCAGTTGTGGTGACAATAATCACATAATACTCGTGGTATGTTTGGTGTGCACTGTCCGGTGAACTGTGTTCAAGTGGTAATCAAATGCAGTAAATGCTAACAAAACTGTTTTAAATGAAAATATCAACAAATCATTGATTATATAATTAAGTGATTATTAGCGCCTGTTTTGAGCTGACGTTGAGTGTAGTATAGGAGAGCACTGGGAGGGCTGGGAGTAGTGGTTGGCTTAGGATGTGGTCAGTAGTGGTCAGTCGTGGCAACCGGTGGTGTGAGTGTTGGCGCCGATACTCTTTCACACCAACTCGTGTATAGACTGTATACCAAAACCACTGCAATATTATAGCAATTATTGACCGCTTTCTGAGGGCTCACAAAGACTGCACAAAACACTCACTCAATGCTATATACAGTGCTTACAACCCATACACTCACTCACACACACTATGTCTATGTCTAATAGTATCCACTCTATAGCCTGTATTACTCCATCCAATAATACTATTCCATATCATTTGCATTCATTGCAATCATGGCGTTCATCAGTCTATCAATTACTCCAATACTAACCCACATATAGAGGTCTTCGCAGCAATCATCACTCCATTCGCCACACACTCCACACTCCAACCCGTTTATGCACTACACATACATGAAATAAATACAGTCCAAGTATTCAATGGCTATGCAACATCTAATTATACATTTATTTAAAGATAATAGTGTAATTTAGCTTATACACATATCCATATAGACTCTATATTATAGAGTAAAGTAAGACCTGGCTAATACCCACACTTATTAAAAATTTATTCCGGTACATTTTTAATAATTAAATTTATTTTTGAAAAAGTTGAAAACTTACAAGTCAAGTTTTTTCGTAAAAATATATCTATATACAATAATTTCTATTTAATAACCTATTAATTTAATTGCACAGTATGTACAATATTTAAAATTAAGTAATATGATGACCAAGTGAAGTTAGTTCTAAATAATAGAATATTGACCATATATTATAAACTACAGAATCATAGCTTATTGTAGCAATAAGTTTGAAAACTCTGTGATTGTGACACAATTTGTGGCCTACTTATCGAGAAATACAAAATTAATTGTAAATTAATTGTAAATTAATTGTAAATTAATTGTAAAAATGTGAACCAAATTGAAAGTCCAATGAAATAGTTTGCAGTGCAGGGAATCACATGAGACTCACGGCGAACATCCCTATCCATTGAAACGTGTGGTGAAAACAGTGACATAAACTGTGATAAAAACTTAACAATTGTTTAGTTAATTGTTTCATATTTAACGACTCATTCATTGAATCAATCGTTTGATCATAAGATTGGATACAATCGACGGTTACATCGATTGATTGAATTGAATATAATTTGTTTGCATTAATTGGGACCAACTCTTGGCTGACGTGGCTTTGAATCAATCATTAAATTATGGTTTGTTTACAATGAATGGCAACTGAAGTGTGAATTAACCGATTGATCCCATTCTTCAGGTGCTGTTAGCTTCTGGTGTGGTGTCGAAAGTGAACGGAAAGATCCTATTGTCGCGACAGTTCGTGGAGATGACCCGATCCAGGATTGAAGGTATCGTATCTGTTGACCACCCCTTGTGACCACTCATGTCATGTCACTCACGCTGTTTGTATGGTTGACAGGTCTGCTGACAGCATTCACCAAGCTCATCACCAAGGATAAACAACACACATTCATTGAGACCGACACCGTATGTCATAACTCGTGATTCGGTGAACTCTTGGTGCCATTCATAACTCAATGAATTGTCATTTTTAGGTGCGATATGTATATCAGGCTCTTATGGATAAACTGTATTGTGTTCTCATCACTACTAAGACATCCAATATATTAGAAGATTTGGAGACTTTGAGGTCTGTTCCCTAATATCTAGCGTTAAACGGTGTCTAACATTAGTTTCTGAATAGACTTTTCGTTCGAGTTATCAATGAATACACGTCTTCGCAGACAAAGGGGTCGTCAGATGAACAGGCGATCAATGAGAATGCGTTTACTCTGATCTTTGCTTTCGATGAGATCGTGGCGTTAGGTTTGTGTGGAAGTGATTTCGTGATGGAATAGGTATCTAACAAACTGTATGACAGGGTATCGGGAGAGCGTGAATATGTCTCAAGTGAGGACTTTTATCGAAATGGATTCACACGAAGAGAGAGTGTTTGTGGCGGTGCGACAGACACAGGAACGGGAGGCCAAGCAGAAGATGCGAGAGAAGGCCAAAGAGTTGAGTAAATTACAGAAAACACAGCAAAACGAAAGACTCAAAGCTATCAGCGGTTCGATGAATATGTCGATGAATAGCAGCATAAATGAGGCGAAAGTAGACACAAATGTTGCCGAAAGAGCGCCCGAAAGAGTGTCCGTTTCTAGCGTTAGGCCTAAGGTTCGCTATAATGAGCGCCAGTATGTGACAAGTTTTATAAATTTTATTTCTAAATATTAGGGCACATCCAAAGCACTGAAATTAGGCGCCCGTTCCGGACAAACCATGTTTTCCCCGACCACTGAGGAACAGTTAGTCTCTGAGCTCACACAAGAAGACTTGCAATGAAGTATCGATTTGTATCTAATTTATATGAATTTCATCTAATTTTGTCAACTTTTAGTTTAATTGCAATTAAAATAAATTATAAACGATTTTTATTCTATATATAAAACCTGTAATAAATGGAAAGTAAATTACATTAGAAATTTGTATTCACATTATTTACATTACATTTAATATATATTTTGTTATCAAATCTAATTATAGTTTGAATTACATTTTAATTATATATCGCCGTTATTGTCATGAATACAAAGTTTCCGGTAAAGGTGTGTCCAATTGATAGGATTAGCGGCTAATATAGGACCAGTCATTACATGTGCAGTGAGTGGGTGTGCAGTGGATGTCAGCATACGTTGTCTGTGAAGGTGTCACTCATTGACGCAACCATTGATGTATTGTTTGGTGTTTTGGTATCGCATTGAATGAGTGGTCAGTGTGAAGGTGTCTCCATTAGTGGATCGCATTAGTGGTGAGAAGTGGTTGTATGGAAGAGTTGGTAAGTCTTAGGATGAGTGGTGTTCATAGTGGATCACTGTCTCACTGTCCATGCGTTTGAACGATAGGTGCAAACGGTTGAGATGTCCCACATTCCGGTGTCCAGAGATGAAGTGGTCGATGAGTTGGGGACCAATCGAGGGCCCAATCGGTCCAAGCAGTGGAGGAATGGGAGCCAAAGCCAGTCTGTGGGCAATCGACGTATGGCTGACTCGGAGTTCACGTCAATGTCGGGCCAAAGTCCGCAACGACTGGTGCGAAGCGATGGCAATGAGGAGGCGTCCGAGCGGTCCAACAGTCCGATCGATGACAACCAACTCGAAGAAGAGGAACTGAAATACGGCGCCAAACACGTGATTAAGCTCTTCATTCCGGTCAGTGTCTGCATGTTTTGTGTGGTGTTCACCATAAACTCCATATCCTTCTACTCGTCCACAAACGTCTATATGGTTTACACGCCATTCACTGACCAGTCAGTGGACACCACAACCAAAGTGTGGCAGTCCTTCGCCAACGCATTCATTCTGATGGCTGTCATTGTGGTCATGACTATAGTGTTGATAGTGTTATATAAGTTCCGGTGCTATCGAGTGATCCACTCGTGGCTAATAATATCATCTTTAATGCTATTATTCTTATTTATGTTCATATATTTGGGAGAAGTCTTGAGGGCCTATAATATACCCATGGATTACATAACAGTCGCTCTATTCATGTGGAACTTCGGTGTCGTCGGAATGGTATGCATCCACTGGAAGGGCCCGCTTCTCCTCCAACAGACATACCTTATCCTAATATCAGCCCTAATGGCACTGGTATTCATTAAATTCCTTCCCGATTGGACCACTTGGGTAGTGCTCGGAGTGATCTCAGTCTGGGATCTCATAGCAGTTCTTTGCCCTAACGGTCCGCTCAGGATATTAGTAGAGACGGCACAGGAGAGGAATGAGACTATATTCCCGGCATTGATATACTCATCAGCGGTGGCCTACTATGTGGGCACAGCCACCACTGATAATACCAATGACACCAACAATCACGCAGAAGATGAAGACTCTGCGACCCAGAGATTACCTGAAGTGAGGTTTACTGACCCGAGAGGACCCATTGCTAACCCCTATGGGAACGAGTCGTCGTCACAAATACTGCCCTCAGAAGTGATGGAAGAGGAGAGAGGAGTGAAATTGGGTTTAGGAGACTTCATATTCTATAGCGTTTTGGTGGGAAAGGCCTCCTCTTATGGCGATTGGAACACAACTCTGGCCTGTTTTGTGGCCATTCTTATCGGACTCTGTCTAACACTCCTATTGTTGGCTATATTTCGCAAAGCATTGCCAGCCCTTCCCATATCGATCGCTTTTGGTCTCACCTTCTACTTCGCCACTTCCACTTTGGTTCAACCCTTTGCTGACCGCCTGTCCAGTCAACTCGTCTATATTTAGCACAAGTATTAACTCAATGTTTGATATTATTTGCGATTTGAACCAATGTTTGAGATTATAATAAATTAAATGAAATGGTTTTTTAAGACCTCTCATACATAACACTCTAATGACTCGTATTTTGAAAAGTTCTCTGAAGTGAAAAATCTGCGGGAAGTGAACCAAAAGATCCGCAAAACTAATTTCATTCTACTGTTCAGATGATTGATACAGTATTTTACCAAAAATTGTTTTTATTATACTGTATTCTGTAAATTAATAACTCTTCTATTAATCTGCGGGAAGTGAACCAAAAGATCCGCAAAACTAATTTCATTCTACTGTTCAGATGATTGATACAGTATTTTACCAAAAATTGTTTTTATTATACTGTATTCTGTAAATTAATAACTCTTCTATGAATTCTATACTGTATTGTAATTGAAGATTAACTTATATTTAGTTGTAAACCTATTAATGAATATCTCATAATTTATTACTTTGTTGTTAAATAACATAATTCAATTATAAATTAATTTCTTATTTAATTTTGATTTAATGACATGTCCTTAGATTAATGAATACGATTACACATTTAAATAAAACATATTTATTTCTGTGAAATGAATGCAAGTTTGATTGAAATGAATGGTAATAAAGATGACCACAAAAGTTGCAAAAGTTTTGTTGCAATCAGTGAACGAATTTCAAATAACGGTAAGAGTTTGCGCTAAAAACACATTCACTTGTATTGTCGCCAATGTTTACAACACTGTAAGCGCTAAACATATGATATTGTATTTTGTCCTTCAATTGCTTCACTCTTAAAACTCTTGAAATGTTTTCACCCATAGATTGAGGCATTTAATGATTAGTGAATGAATTGAATAATTTATATATAGTAACAGTGGCTTCACTGCCATTCAATTGAATGAATGAATGTATAAATAAATGTTTAAATGAGTGCTAATATCGTAGATGTTATCTAAGATAGATCTGCAGAGATAGTGATGCCATGTATCCCAAGCCTAAAGTCAGTACATCTCTGGACACAGAACTGGCCGAAGCCCTCAAAACCAACGACTATAGCGATTGCATCCGAAGACTGGATCAATACTATGGACAGGGTTTGCAAAAAGCGATTGCGGATCAATGGATGGATGTATTGAATGTATTGAACATCTTTTGCAGTGAAGCGCCAACTCTTGCGATACCAGAGCCCGACGACGGGACTGTTCCCTCGGGTCTCGTGTCATACAAACGAAGCCCATATCAGAGACTCGCTGTACATCTGTAGCGCCATTTGGGCCCTCTTTCAGGCCTACACCAAACGCATCGACGATGACCGGGGTAAAGGGCATGAGCTAGG